GTATATATATATCTATATATATATATATATATATATATATATGTATATATATAAATAATTTTAAGTTGTTGCCTGGCGCAACGGAGAAAATCGAGTGTTTCTTGCAAATCCCTCGCAAAGTACGTAGCTCATCTTGACGATTGAGCATGATTTGAATCGCCCCTTTGCAAGCACGTTGTTTGTCTGTAGCGCCGGTCACAAAGATGCGTCTCGCATATTTCTGAATATATTTCGCCACATTACATTTTGTGGTAGACCTACCATCCATGACTTCTTGCACTATAGACGCCTGGTTGCATCCATAAGCACACCTGTCAAGTTCCGTGCCTGCTATAGTAGCATCTTTGTTATAAAGGATACGCGGTCGAAAATTTGCATACATCTCTCTTGATTCGAACAGTCGTGACGCGAGTTGGAATTGCTAGATGAACCCTAATAGAATTTAACTCAGTGAACTGGCCGTGTATCCGACTCGTGATTGACTGTCAGTATTCTTCGACACAGTTGGCCCAAATCGCGAGTACGGAACGTAAACACAAGGCGACATAATAAACACTACTGGCTGATATACATGCGAAAACATGATTATTGCATACTATATATTGACTGCTGCTGTGCAATAGTAACCGATTACATCTGTCCGAGATGGCAGACAAACATTTCAATGGATATTTGTGTTGTTTCTCCCATTAAACAGTCCTCATATAATTTGGATCGTCACCATTCGACAACAAAACAATATATGTAAAAAAATAGTACAACGGTAATAAAGCGAACTTATAGCTGAAGCGTATGCAAAATGTACCAAAAATCTCTACAGATGTATATCCATGCCATACAGCTACCTCGACGAACTAGATTTCGACACAGGCATGCATTTATTTTAAAAAAAAGCGTGAATACATCTACTTCTTCTGCTGAGCAGCACCGCCAGCCTGGGGGCCACCACGAGCGGCACCACCACGGAAACGGGGAGGGGGGTCACGGTTGCGACGGTCCTCACGCGAACGGACGCGACGGTAACGGGAGTGGATAGCGCATGAGATGCAGTAGTTCTGCTTCACATACAGTTTAGGTAGTGCGTATGCTGTAATAGGGATTTGATAAAAGATGAAAATTTCAGACTATTAGCATTGAATTTGATTGTGAATGTTGATGCGACAAGATACCGATTATCGGAAAACATGATATTTGATTTTAATCGTTCCAATTCTTGTGATTTAGAATTCTATCGTAGCACATACTCAGTACTCACACAGAGTGCGAAACACAAAACAGCCCAAAAAAACAATAACATGATGTTCCCTCGCGCACCAAGTCTTCAAAGCCCCACATGGAAATGATTTTTAAATTTCCCATATTCGCAAAGATGTGGTATATATAGCTGAATCCCAAAAAGAACCTTATACACGCACGATAAGTTAAAAAAGCTCACTTTGACTAATAAAACATGCACATTACAATACCTTAGTGACATTATTGAATGTGTTATGAACAGATAAACATAAATATATATACATATAAACATATACAGGTACCTATAAAACTAAATACAAATGGTTAGAACCACGTTTCTATATCAGTATTGTTAAATTGTTATGTACGTGTGATAATATACACGTATACGTATACGTATACATTTCCATATACATACATATAAATATGTTTGTGTATTCAAAAACATACATGTGTGCACAAGCTACAGTAAGTGTTTATGCGTGCGTATGGGAATGTCCTATGTATATTAACATGCATATTTTATATAAACATCTGTGCACACAAATATATTCTGTATACGCATAGATAAATACATATACATATATGTATAAATATAAATATAATGTATATATACACTATAAATATGCAAATGAATGTAAATATTTGTATGCATGTATGCATATGCATACGCATATAAATATTCATTTTATATATATATATATATATATATATAATATATTACTTTTATACGCCTACATATAAATATTCACATACATCCACATATCCGTAATGTATATGTACAAAATATGTATAATTATACATTTGCATATTTATGACGTACATATACGAAATAATTCTATTTATACATATATGCATCTATATATATATATACATATATATATATTTGAATATATACATCTATATATTTGTATATATACATACATATACAATAGTTGTATATATATACATACATATTTGTATATATAAACATATATATATATATATATATCTATATATATATATATGTATGTATATATACATATATATTTGTATATATAAATATATATATTTGTATATATACATATATATTTGTATATATACATATATATTTGTATATATACATATATATATGTAAATACATCGTGTATATATATATATACATATATACATATATCAACAAATATATGAATATATATATATCGTATATACATATACATATATACATACACATTATATGTATATACATGTATACATGTTTATATGCATATACATATATACCTACATATTATATGTATATACACATATATATATATATATATATGTGTGTGTGTGTAAAAATAGTAATGTGTGTGTGTGTTGTGTGTGTACATGTACGTATACATGTACGTATACATATATGTATACATATATGTATACATATACATATATATATATATATGCATATATGTGTACATGTATATATATATATATATATTTCTCTTATAATATATATATATATACACTTATATAATATATGTATATATACTCTTATTTATATTTATAT